TTCTGATTAGGTCCAGTAATGTAAATCCACAATTATAAATGCTTGATGACTCTGAGCAGGTTGGCGAACTCTCTAGCGATATAGTCCAACGTAGGATGTGATATATTCCGATTACAGTCTATAAATGTAGATAGTATTTGATTTAGACTTCCGTTAACTCAATCACAAATGGAAATAGAACGAGGAGTGCGAGAGTAGTAATGTATTTGTTAACCCGCAAGAATGTCACGCTATGTAATAGCTCAACGGAAAGTGTCTTCAAGGTCATTGACTAAAACAACATGTACAGTCATTTAATGATAAATGTACATACAGTGAAAAATTGACAAACAAATACAAATAATATTAAAAACTATTTACAAAATAAGCTTGTCAGTCATATCTCCACATAGCTCCCCCCAGAGTGCCGGAGGTAACACTGGTTACAATAACAATAAGAAAAATTTTATACAAAAAAAAAATAATATTTACAATAATAACCAATTAACAATGTGGAGATGCGTATGACATGTACGTTAATAATATACAGTGTGTTATTGCGTGAAAATAGCGGTGATGTGGCATAGCATGACAAACAAAAGTAATGAGAATACCGTCATTTAAAATCTTGGTTTGCTAACAATGATAATAATGTACAGAACTGTTACTGAACCCAAAAAAAAATGAACTGCTTATTTTTTTTTGTGTGTGTACAACAAATGAATAATTAAATAGAGTTTACTCGTTTATTATTGTAACAAATTTTTTTATAAAAAAAATGTGACAAAACGAATAATTGTGGGAAAAAAATATGGTTAATTATGTACACTGTAAAAAAAAAGAAAAAAAATCATAGATTTTGTTGGGAAAAATCGGGTGAGTATAATGGTATAGTACATCAGTAATTGTTTGTTTAGATTTTTTTTATTCGGCGAAATGTACATAGCGTTTGGGTTTTTTACAGCTCTGCCTGAGCGCGTTAAGCAAGTAGGTTTGATACTCAGTTTTTCTTCCATGTCTGCTGTAGTGGTGGTTGCTGGACGGGGTTGGTTCAGTGAAGTAGTGTAGTGACTCACGTTTATCACGAGAACACGACTGGTTTAATAAAAACAATTATTATTATAACCAACTGTACCAGTGTTTGTTTTAATGTGCTTTTGTTTAACTGTGCTAAT